CCACAGCAATGGACCACAAAGATTCCCCAAGCTGGCTCAGTGCTTTGCTCCTGAAGAAGCTGAATACCTTTCCAATCTCCAGGGCTGAAGCTCTGGAGAGTCCTGAGTGTTAAAAGTTTCTAATCTTTTATTCTGCTTCACTTATCTGGCAATACATATTCATGAGAAAGGTCATTATAGCAGCACCCAGTAGTGTGGTTCCAGTTTAGAGCAGCGGCACTCGGTGCTCAACAACCAAGCCCACAGAATCTCAGCAGGCAGGAGAAAGCAATATCCTGAAACCTAATGAAACCTAAAAAGTTTTCACCTACATTATTGGGCTACCAGGGGGAAAAGAGCTTTTGAACTTATTTGTGTCTGTCCTCCTAGAGATTTTTAAAAGGCATTTTGCCCTGAGAGTGTTCTGGCAGGTGCTGCATACCTGTGTTTTTCAACTGCCAGTGGAGTGCTGCACAGGGCAAGTAGGGACAGTGGGACGAATCTCATGGATCCAAAGAGCCTGGACACCAAATTTCAGAGAAGAGTGGGCTGAAAAACAGTGCAAAGATCAGCTTTGTTCTTCTACAGCTGTGGTCTGTGACCACTCCAGATGTTGGTAACAAACTTGGTGACACCAAAAAAAATTTTGGCCTAAGACAAACTAGCAGCTAAATGACCTTTGAGTAACAATTAGATGCAGAGCTGAGATTTTAGAGGAAGCTCCTGGAGACTCCCTCAGGCCACCTGAGCTTGAAGGAACTCTGCCTATACTGGAGTTATCCTAATCCTGTCCACTGGCCCCAAACACAAGCACATCCAAATGCAACATTACAGCATCCCTCCTGTAAATGACACTTTTTTCCTCAAATACCCTAAAGAAAAACCAACTATCTTTCAGTTCCCTGCCTCACATCACTCTATTTGTACTCTCAGTGCAGGAAAAACCCAATTTTTCAAGTGATTTATAGTTTCATGATGGTAAACTTCTATGCAGATTACTTAAAGGCTAATATATACTAGATAAAATGTTTCTAGCATTCAAACAGGCACACTTTTTAATATTTCGATTAAGCATTTAATTCAAATTACTTTATCATTACTTATATCAATGTCAATGTATCTAGCTGTAGGTGTGCTTGGATGAGTGGGTTGCAGTAAATGTACGACCAGTGTGTTTCGATACTACAAAGTAAATATTAATTTCTTATCAACTGTTTCACCAAAGCCAAAACAAAGTTTGACTCATTAGATTCAAGTGCCTGTGAATGTATGAGAGTCAAAGAACAACAGGGTGACACAAAGGAGGGCATTCCTATCCCCCACATATTTGTGCCTCAACAGGAGGAACATCTAATGCTGCAACACGTTTTCCTGCAGGTAGCTACAGAAGCAAGTGAAAAGTAAAAAAAAAAAAAAAAAAAGGCAGTGAGTCCCTTGTATGAAAGGGTGTGTGTGGAGATCTCATTCCCATTGCCTTTCTAGAACCTGGCAGCTTATGGAGGAATCCTGCCTCATGTTGGTGTCTAGCTCTCATTTTGGAATGGAGGATCAGGTCTGGGTCCTGATTGTTCTTTCCTCTCTTTACTGTCAGCTTTTATCTTCCCTGCTCCGTGGGATTGGCTGCCTCTGCACTGCAGTCAGGGTCCCTCACCTTTTACCTCAGCAATTGCAAGGTAAGATTTTATTGTATCCCTGTCACTGCTGTGGTCCTGGAGACAGTTCTGTACCTTCCCTCACTTACCTGTATGCCTCCTGTGACACTGATCTGAAAGATTGTTTCTTCTCCTCTGAACATCCCCTTCCCTGCTTTTGACTGTGCCTGACACATCTGTCCTTGGCCTTGAACCCACCCCAGGCATTGACCAGCTCACTGCAGGGTTGCCTGAACTGCATCTGGGGCCTCCCTACCAGCCTTGTGGCAACTTAATTTTAGGTGTTTTTGAAGGAAGAGGTGATTTTCCACAGCTCAGATAGCTTTTATCAGAATATTTTTAATATTAAACAATGATGCCATTCAATGAGTTAAAACTACCACCCTCTAGAGACTATTCAAAATTCAGTAACCTTGGCAACAAAATAAAAAGCAATTCTGATTTAGTTGTTTCAAATGGGGAACATACACCCTTACATATGTGAACATATTGTTAACAGATTGGTTTATGTTGTTCCTATTTTCCTAATTGTATGGCTTCCTTAAACATTCCAGTATTGGAAAATACCACATTTTATTAATCTAAAATTTGTCCTACATCACAGAACATCACCTGATCAGGGAAAAAAACCAAACACATCTCTCTGGAACAGAGTCAGAAAATGGTGCAGGTGCCTACAGATGTTCTTGTCAGCTGGCTATAAACAGAAAACAGCAGTATGCACTCAGGTGATTTTTCAAGGCAAACTGAGTAGTCACTCATTATTATTTTCATATCTTATCTTTTGGAGCATCTCTAAACTTGCTCTATCCCCTACAGAGGTATGCATTTCAGAGTAGGAATTAAAAAAGGAACATTTCCTTCAAATCTGAAACTTCATGTAGCTCCAGAAGATGAGCTGAGAGGCAGGCTGGTGAGCGTGGACAGTGCTGCCAAACCTGGAAAAATCTGGGACAATGGGAAAAGGTTGATTGGCTCTGTGCCCCAGCACCCCCCAGGTCCCTGGTGCTCTGCACCTCCACAGGGATTCACAACTTAATTTGGCTGCCTGAGATTTTCTTTTTGCAAATTATTCCAAAATCATACCCTCATTCACTTAGAAGGCTTGAGGCAATAAGCTCAGGCCATCTAACAGCAAACTGCTAAAAGTGCTGTATGTTTTCTTTTTTTAAGTTTGTGAAATAATTTGTTTCCCCAAGCTAGTGATAATATGGATTTGGAGCACAGCTTTCCCAGATTTATTTAATAAAGGGTTACCATTTTTCTTCTAGCAGAAACAATCAGAGAAAAGAAAGCTATTCTCCTCCACACAATGGAAAGCAGGATTATAGAATAAATGCAAGGGAGATAAGAAAGGTGAATCAATTTAAATGACCTTTACTCAAGCTTCATTGAAACAAATGAATAAGAGGATTTATCTACCAGAAAATAAAGCGGAAATAAGAAAATAATGGCTAAACAGCAAACCAAAGGAAAAATTCTAATTATATTGAAAGAGATTTGCCAGGGTTTCTTAGTTTAAAATTAAAAACAGCTTAGAGTATGTTAAAACATGTATAGATTAAAGCTGAGCAAACATAATAAACCCACTTGGACAGCTAAGCTAGGAGTAGGATAGAATGCAGTGCTTGCAGCTGAGAAAGGGCTTTGCCTATTTGCACCATTAACTTTCTAAAATTTTGTCCTCCTACCTTATGGATCAGCTGTTTTAGAGATTAATTGGCTTGCTAATACCATAAAATCTTATTTTTTTATTTCTCACATGGGACAGGAGCCTAAATAGTCCATTGCTAAGCTAGGCAAAAGAAGCACATAAATGGAATTTTAATAGTTCCACAAGCAATAGCTGTGGGGCTGAAGGTCCCGAGTGTTGGCTAAGCCCTATCCTGGTGCACAGGGTCCTCAGCCTGACATTGGCCTGGCTGTGCCGAGCAGAGCCATCACTGGGGTAGTGCCAAGTGTGCAAATCCCTGCTCTGCAGAGCTGCTGGGTGCCAGCCAGCACCCATACCCAAGCAGCTCCCTCCCAGAGACTCCGCTGCCCACAGCCAGCTCAGCAGGGCTGCTGAGCACCCTGAACAGCATCTGCCTTCCAGTGCTGGGCAGAGCCTTATGTGGGTTGCTTCTTCCCCATAAATATTTTTTTAATATTTGTAAAAAAAGACCCAAAATAAACAAACTGCACATGCAGTTTTTCTGGGAAAGAAAAAAAAGCCTTTTTTTTTTTTTGTTTGTTTGCTTAGCTTAAATCTTAAATCTTTGCCTCCTTTTGATATGACAATCAACCAACTAAGACCATTAATTACATGGTGATAAATTTCTTTCAGTGCACAGATACCAGGGTAATAGGTTTAAGCAAAGTCATGGAATTTGGCAGCTTTCCTTTCCTAGCAAGATTATGTCAGTGCTCCTAAATCCATTGATCCAGTGAGACAGTAATTAGTTAATTTAATGAGAATCAAAGGATTTTAGCCTGCAGAATTTACAGTAATAACAAGACAGGTTATTTTTGGAAGCTATTTCCAATAAAAACGCCTCAATCAGCCAGCAAGAATATTGCCTCTTGATTAAAAACATGGAGCATTGTTTATCGCTATCACCACAGGGTTAGGCTAGTGCTGGAAAAGATCCTGTGCTTACACTGGTTTTGGCTACTGTTAGAGTGCCTGTTTTGTTTTAAGAACAGTACTGTGAATCACCTTTGTGAACATCTTCTTAGGGTGCAGCCATGTGCATGGCTGGTTCTGCTTGTTCTCGTTAATTATTTTCGAGGAGATTTCTGCTGGTGCCTGATTGCTGTGCCTGCCAGGGGCAATACAGTGGGCAGGGAAAACAAGGCTCAACTGCAAAAGGCAGATTTGCTTGGCAGTGAGATATGCCCAAGAAATGCTGGTTTCAGCTGAGGGGCTCCACACAAGCATAACATGCAGGAAAACTGTGTTGAGCTTGCACGGGCCTGGAGACTGCCTTTGCCATATCTCTAAAGAATGATTAATTGTTCTGAAGAGACATCCTAAGCTTGGCATTTAATTTAACTCTGCAGAGACACAGCACTTCTGCTGTTAGCACAAACAAGCAAAGAAAGCAAAACCATTTTGCAAAAGAACAAACCAAATAAAGCCAACCAGGAGCCAACTAAAGGAAAAATGCAGTCCATGAGCCTCTGGTCACTCACACAGCCTGTGCTAAGCAGGCCAGGCATAAAAGCATCAGAGGCAGACAGACTGCTGGACATCCCCCACATCCCCCCATTTTGGCTGTGCAAGGGACATCTGGGAAGAAAAGATTCTGTGGAGAAGTGTCTCCTGCAACTGCAAGAAGTCAGGCTTAAGGTAGTGTCCACAAAATGTGAATTATTGGCAATGCCTACCTTTGCTTTTGTAGACCATGCTTGCAGCACGTGAGCTGTGAACAAAGGGGGGAATATTGCTCCATCTCTGGAATTGGCTCTAATTCTGGCTTTCACCAAAAACTTCATGGCTCCTTCCATGGGTGATTTTGTGTAATCTCCAGCATCCCTATTGCAAACAGCCAGAACACTTCAGACAGCTCTAAGGGAGAAAGGAGAAGATGAGAAATATTTTGTGGCAAAACTTTCCTTGCAATATAAATATTTAGAGGGGTATGAGCTCCTGAGGTGTTTATTTAAAAGCATCTTCAATTTACAGGCAGCTCCAAAATCTCTGCATAATATCCCCTTTGTGGAATTAGTCAGTGTACCCATAAATATAACAACTTTTTCTCTTGTATTTCTCTTTGCTTACACAAAATAGACATCTGAGTATAAAAATATTGTGATTAAATTGGGGAATTAGTTGGCTAAGTACTTAAATGATTCCCCTACCAGAAAAATAAGAACTATTTAACTAAAAGAGTCAATGTCTTCTCTGAGGATGCTTTAAAAGATTATTTAAATCTTATAAATATTTAAAGATCTGCAGAGAAGTTAATGGATTTTTAAAGAAAAACAAAACAACAATGAGCAACAGCATCTTATCTTCTACTAAACCAATCGAAGAGTAAATCCTGTGTTGGGACTGTATTTTGAAAATTACCTTAGTTGAACTAGATGGTATTTTTATTGAGATGCAGTCAGGATTTTGCTGAAAATAACACAGATGTTTTTGAGCTTAAACAGGTAAATCTCCTGCTACAGGAACATCACATGGCCTTCAAGGACCAAAGGGAGGATGCAGGTGTCCCATCCTTCCCTTGCTTTGCTGTAAATAGCTGGCCCTGTCCGGTGTCTGATTCCCACACTCATTTTACATGCCTGAAGACCAGACCCTCATGGTTTAAAAGAGTAGCCATCATATTACTGAGGGGGTTAAAAAAGCAACTAAATCTGATTAACTTTGTAAACAAAACTACTCAGTGCAATCACTTGTTTCTCCGGGGTGGTAGTGACTGGGTGTGTTGGATATATAAAAGTTTGTTTTGACACGGTTCCTTGGGCATTTGAAGGTAAGCACATATTCAAGCCTGTGGAGTGGTGATTGGTTAGATGGGGCCTCTCATGGTGTATCTTGGTCACTTGTGAGGAAAGCTCCCCAATTCTACAAAATCTCAGCTCTGACAGAAGGAAAATAAATCCAAACATTTTTATCATTCAAAACCTTCTATTTCATTACCACCCTCTGTGCTAAACAAACATTTTCCACTTGGTACTTAAGCTTGATCATGAAGACAAAACCATCATTTGCACATATTTTAAGACAGAATATGGTCTGATTTCATTTACTTCACCACAAAGCTGGTGGGCACCATGTCTAAGTGAGAGGAGAACAAAGGCCTTGTTACCATCATCCTTGAATCTGTAGAAAGTTTGAAGTGATGTGAATAATGGGCGAGGGAGGGGAGTTTGTGGTTGTTTTTTTTTTTTTTTCAATGCTCTGCTTTTTTCTCACTGAGCACATTGACAAATGTTCAGATGAACCCTCAGCTGAAGGAGATTCTGCAGAAATACTGGCCCCCTAGCAACACTGTTACTATGCATGAGGAGTACATAAAACCTTATTCCCCTAAAAGACCGTGTTTGAGGAGGAAATAAAATTTTATTTTCTTTTAAAATAAAGATAAGGTGCTTGCAAATGTTTCACATACCTCTAAATATACTGTAAACACAATCTGAATAGAGGCAGGATTCATAATATAAACACAGAATGACGACCGTGGCACAGAAGCAGATAACTAGAGGAGCCAGAGATACAGATCTTTTCTGTGAAAGGCATGTTTCCACCACTATGAATTGGGAGAAACAGAGCATTTGATTTTGAGCCCAGAGAAACAGAAGTAAAGAGGACAATAGCATCCACAAAGGGGAGCTGCTGTAATAAGGGAGGACACGAGAATGGGGAAGGCTTTTGGCAGCCTAGTTATTACCCAGGAGTGACCTGGGCCTGCATAGAGAGGTGTGCCACAAAAGGCACTTCTGCAAGAAAGCAAAGGGAATAGGAGAGGAAAATTAATCTTTTCACTGGCCAGATGAAGGATGCACTCAGAACAATGTGCCTCCAGGAATAAATTCTCTTTCTCTTCTCTCAGCAGCTTACTCAGGAACCACAGAGCACTAATGATTGCAGTGAGTTAATGAATACATGCTTATGAAGCATCCAGCAATTTTTTTAAACTATGATTTATCCTCCAAACTCCGCTAAGGAAGAATCCTGTCACTATACATCTCTAAGCAAATTTTTTGAACTCATTGTTTTAGTGACTGTATATTTTCTTTTCATTGACCAAAGCTTTTGTTGAGTTGGTGGCCAGTGCAGTACAGGTCTCAGCATGCTTGTGAGAACAGCTCTGCTGAGATGCATAGGTTTGTATCCCTATACATTTGGTCACCAGAAACATGTGTGCCGCTTCCAGCAGCACACATGCACAGAAAAAGCAGCCTGAGCTGCAGAGAACTTAACTGAGGGTACTTCATGCTGATATCCTGGGAAGAAAAACCCAAGCTCTGTTGTCCTTCATCACTGTGAAACTGGCAGGGCTCTGGCACTGACCAGCTGTAGTGCACAGTGAGTAATTTTGATATTCAGAAATGGCTATTTTGCCCCCATATTTCCCATGGAAGAAGAGGTCTGAGTCCCAAATAGCTGTACTGTAGAACCCCAGCACTGCTGCCATCACCACTTGACAGGGACATGTGCCCAACAGGCTCACCAGCTTCAGCCACATTCTGGCAGAAGGAACAGGAACAAGCCTTAGGAAAAATGTGGGCTTTTTTTTTTCCTGTCTAAAAATCACCTTTTCCAGCGGCAGGCTTTGTAGCTTGTTTTACTTTTCCAGCTGAGCAGACCCAGTGCAGAGGCAGCCTAAGGTAGTGCTTTTCATTTTGTACACCCACATTCACAAGTCTCTCTCATTGTTCGTGCTTTCGACAGAAGTTACCAATTATGCTGCTTGTCGTACATGGCAACTGTTTACAAGAAAATTACGTTGTTTATATATTTTTCCTACAGTTAACAAATTATCTTAAATGTCAAGTTGCTTGATACAGAAATAAGCGGGCCTACAGTATGCTTTAAAGCACTACAATTGTTGGTAAATTGCACTCAGCACAGAATTATAGACATCACTGGGAAAGAAAATGCTTTCCCAAGGGATTCATCTGACATCATAAACTATGAAAATGAAGGCTTAACCATTTACAAATGTCAGCAGAACAAAACCACCCCATCTTTTGAGCACAATTAGTCACGTGCAGTTAACTGTTTAACACTTGCACTGTGTTGCTATTGATCTCTGATTGCTTTCATGAAATCAATTTGATAGCTGTTCATTTATCATTAGTTGTGCTGTGAGCTTCAGACGGGATTGAGAGCATGAAGGAGGTTGGCTCACAGACTGGACCCAGCAGTTTTTGACATAATGAGTAAAAGTGAGCCACCTCTCTCATTCTGCACGTATGAACCATCCATACAATCATGCTTGTCCTCACCAGTGTCTTCTATGTCACAGTGGCAGTAGTTTTTAGCAGCTAGGGTCATTAGGCACTGAAAAAAGCAGCATTTTCTGGTTTCATACAGAGGTGTTGCCAGTCAGGGGCTGTGGCTGGCTTGCAGGAGCAGTTCAGAGCAGCAATGAGCCAGCACTCGCTCCTCTGCTCAGCCTCTGCTGCGTGGTAGGACCATCAGCACAGCAAGTCCATCTCTCTCAGCTCTACAGGCAGGTTGGTGAATCCCAACAGCAGACAGCACTCACCACCCTAGGAAGTTTGTGATGGTACAGTTGTTTCACTGACCAGTGCCTTTTCTCCTCAAGGCTGATTCCATGTTGGGAAGATGTTGTGACCCACCTGGAAACCTGCCTTACTACGGCTGCATGTACGGTTGCCACTTCCCCCCACTCTCCTAAGAGTCTGCCATAAAAAATCCAGCTCTGGTGGGCAAAAGTGTCTCATTTCAATGCCCTTGTTTTCCTCCTGGAGTCCCCTTTGCATAATATGAGAAGAGAGAGTCTCCTGCTTCCATGCCTGGCACTTTCTAACACTGCACGGCTATATTGCAGCAGATGGAGAGTATGGCCTCTTCCATAAAGTAACAACTTGCTGCTATTTGGTATTCTGATATAAATCCTTGTTTTTTCCAGAGTTACAATGGCAAATCATAAATATTTGCTCTGGTCTTAATAATGAGTATCATTCTAATGTTTCAGAAGAGCCTCAGTGCTCTTGCTTGTATTCACCCCATTTCAAAGGAGGAGCAAATGGGATAGACAATTCACACAAAATTACACTGACAAACCATAATCCATCCCTGTTCCACACTTTAGTGGTGTCTTTCTGTGCCTTTCCAGCAGCAGATCATCAACCACTGCAGAAGGAGATTTACCATTCATTATGATGGTAATGTAGTATGATTTGCACTTCATACATATTACATATTTCAGATGGATAATAAGGGGAACAATGTAAATACCCCAAAAAAATGCGTAATAGGTTATAATACCTAGACAGGGATTCCAGAAAGAGAAAGAAAAATATAGTTGTTGAGAAATATTTTGGGCAAATCTGAACCAAACAATCTTAACAAAACTGACTGCAGAAAGAAGAAATAGAACAGCCCCAAGAAGCATGACATTTCCAAGTACTTCCTTTCAAGTAACTTGTGATTTAGAAGATGAGCATTCTATGCAGACTGGCATTAGAAATGAGATTAAACTGGAAGGAGAGAAAATGTTCAAAATGAGAGAAAGATGAAAGAGATGCATGCATTAAAAAAGTTAACTGTCACTCAAGAGACAGTGACAGGACTATGAGAGGTAAGTAGAAGGATTCTTTTCCCCAACGACAGAACCACTTCAAGAACGTTTCACTATTTCTATTTACATTCATGTGTATTTGATCACTACAGACTATGAAAAATGACAGTAGCAATGTTCTTCAGGTACAAGGACAGTCAGTGTTTATGAAGGAAGATTGGGCTCCAGCATCCCAAAGTTCACAAATAGCTGATGACAATTGGATTGTCCCAGTCATGCCCCTGCACTCCATGTGTGCCTTTTCTACAAAGTGAAGTTTGTCTTTGCTATAGCTTCTTTTCTCTGAGCGTTTTATATGGGATACCAGCTCATAGATCACATTTCATTATCTTTTATGGTAATGCTTTGGCCATATATCATATTCTCTAATAATCTTAGCTTTGCCCAGCCCAGCAGAGTATCATAATGTTACCTTTCAGAACACTGCTTTCAGCAGTAGATACACAAGGCTGCATCTTTCACGTGGGTTTTTTTGCAGTTTATCAAAATGAAACATGACATCTACTGTAAATGATATTCCCATTTAGTGCTTAATGATACATCTGCTTCCTCTCATCCACAAATTCTGATGGCTTGCTAAACAGATATTTTGTTTAGTGACAGCCCTGTATGCCAAACTGAGGTTCCTTATCTTCAGCCTATCAGCGATGGAAGCTGATGCAATCATGAGCTGGGACTATGAGCTAAAAACCTCAGATATTACAACAACAACAACAACAACAACAAAACCCCCAAACAAACAAACAAAAACAAAAAACCAAACCAAACCAAAACAAAAAAACCCCACTTGCAAATACTGGATTTAACACCATGCTGACTTTCAGCAAAAAAAAGATTAGCTTTAAAATTTGAGGTGCCATCAAGGACTGCTATTGTTTTCCAGTCTAAGGGTAAAAAATCAAAATGGTGCTCTGCCAACAATAACTTGACCAAGAAGCAACTATCATTGAGAGAGAGAACATAATAATATCTTCCCATTTGT